TGATATCATGTACTGAATATAAAATAAAGTATGTTTTTTATTAACTATTATATATGAGTAAGCAGTGTTATCAAATTGCGGCGCCATGGCCGCGATGGCGATATACATAGCAGTTTTGAGGCTTGCCGCAATGGATATCTCTCTGCATAAATCCTCCTCCTTTGATCCGCTGCTTTTCCAAGGAAGTTCAACAGTATGGAGAATCCTTCCTAATGCTGCAGGACGGTATCAACGCCAATCAAGTGTTTCCGTTGCCAAGAATTGAACCCCTGGGACAGTTCAAGCATGCTTCAGGCATGCTTCTAGCATCGGCGGAATGAGCGCTTTTAGACCTTCCAAAACGCAGTTAGACAGGTTCACCAACATTTTCCGCTTTGAAAGAATGATTCTCGACATTCCCACTATTGGCACCCTGCAACAATATCAAAGGCAACAGTACCAAGTTATTACGCGCCGTCGTCATAAATAGCAGGAACTGGTCTAAATGGAAACTACGCAGGAGCTCAATAGAAAAGAAGAGTCTCAAGACCATCTCGTTGTCGTCACTTGGCGAAGAACCAACATCAAGAAAACCTGTCCAAAACAAGTCAAGGCCTAATGTTAACAATCTGTTGGCACAAGAACAACAATTAAACCGTGTATAAGAAACATAACCTAATGTACGCAAGCGAACGCTACTTCGTCACACTGCGACCACACCAGGAGATGTATCCTCCAAATAAGTCTCAAGGTCATGCATCAGGCCCTAAACTTCCTGTTATAGCAGCAAACAAGGGTCATGCCGCCAAAAAGTAATAAACCTCGTTTGAAGATAACAAGAAATCATGGTTTTCAAAGCAAAATCATCATAATCGATGTCAAGGATTCCTTTTTATTTCCTAAGTGATAACTAATACAATCCCTAGGGTGAATTAAGAAGGAAAGAGTTTAATCAAAAGAAATCCTTCCAAACCAGGTCCGTGAACAGCTTTAACCCTCAGCAAAATCAAACTGTGGATTCTCCAGCTCACCTTTACCATCTTCAATCCATGTTCGAGGGTCACGAATTCAGAGAATGGAACCTAAGCTCCATCCCACAATCATCACCAATGCACCCTGAACCATGGCGTCCAGCCGCATCTACAACTCCGAAGGTATCGGCAGCCAACGTGTTAGAACGGAAAGCACGAGTGAATCCGTTCTGAAGACACCTCCTATTCAAAAAGAAACCATCAGTTTTTGCATAAGTCAGAATAACAACTTCAGCAGATTCTAGAATTATCACAATCAAGTTATAGCATCATATCAAATTATAATTTAAAATACAATTTCTAAACAATGTTTACAAAAGAATTGCTTATTATTCATGGTTCTCCACCCCAACGGTATTCAATGTGAGAGTGGAAATACAAGTCACCCACAAATAGGCAATCTTCAGAATTGAGGGATGGATAGTAGAGATCACTGCCACTGTTGCAAATATAAGCATCAAAATCATTGGGACTCAAGCCACCTGAGATCAGAAATGACTGTATCTCAGATATAGTCAATGATGTTGACAATATGAACCCTATAGAGCCTTCAGCCCTCTCCTCTCCAGCAGCCTCAAAGATTACTTTAATCATTTCAAGAAGACCTGAAGTGGTATCACAATCCACTGCAATCACAAATAGTCGATTTCTACTCCTCAATGGCGGAAATTTACTAGCATTTGAATTTTGGCCTGACTTTTCAGCAGCCCCACCCCTACACGTGTCCTTGGAAATGCCCTTTGACCATGACAAAACAGCATTCTCTAATTTTGTAGGTCTATCAGTTGCATTTCCATCAGGATCCAAAGAATTGTCATTTCCACTATCCCCGCTCTTCTCTCCATCCAATGAAAATTTCAGGTTAAGAGATAAGTCCTGTATATCTCTCAATGAATCACCGGGTGATTCTTCTGATTCTGAACTTTCACCTCCATCCTCGCTACGCTGCCATTGAGGATGCCTTGGCTTGCAAGTGGCTATTTTAGACAGGTAAGTCTTGCAATGCTCAGGCCATGAAAATAAATGAATATTCTTCAACCCATTCTGTCTACATTTTGCCCACAGTTGCTTGTTGCTAACAAGTTTCAAAAGAGCATCTGCAATAGACTTCTCATCATGGGGATCTATAAGCAGACCATTGTCGAGCACCTGTATCAATAATCAATTAATCAACCATGTTTCCACGGGAACCTTTACAGATCAATACATAACATAACCACTAATCAATAAACATACTCGATAAATATCAACAGGACCTCCATTTTTAGTAGCAACCATTGACAAAGACGCAAGTTAGTGTTTACAACTTCAAAAATAAATCAGCTAATAGTAATTAATTCAAGATTCAGAAGATCGCCTCAATTAAGGTAAGACCAAATGGCTCAATGAAAGCAGGATTAATGAAGACACCCTGCACAGATATCAGATCTGAATGAAATGTAAAATGACAACATAGCTTGCATGGGTAAGAGAATTAAAGACATGAAGAAAGTAATATAGATTGAACCCAACAAGCGGCGGCAGACCCACATTAGTTGCATCTTAGCAGAATGAATACACATGCGGTGCAGGATTTGTATTGGAATAGGAATTCAAATTGAAATGAAAATACTCCCCAAAATGATATAAGTGTGGATCGAGCGGGGTTTTGGTTTTGGGAGGTTGGAGTATATGTTTTGCCGTTGAGCTAGAGAAGTGCAACGAGTTAGATAATTGTACGGCGTGCGTGTGCCCATACATGTGTATAAAATATATAGAAATTTTAAAATACAATTTGTAAATTAAAATAGAAAAAATTATTTATATGAGGTTTAATTAGTAACTAATTGGTTCAACCAATAATCCACTAACTTGACACCATAATTGAGTTGATGACTAGTTTAAGTTTCAAACTATATAATTGCATAAAGGAAAATTGTCCACAAGTTAAGAGTATTCACACTAGATTGTTGTATCAAAGCAAATAAATATAAGAGGATGTATTTACAGAAGAGAATAATGTCATGAGAAATACAATGTATTCACACAAGCCAGTGACTATCTAATATGAAATAAAGAGGATAGAAAGAGACCGTGGGGACAGGTTCCATCTAGCCCTAGGATGCATATGTACGGATACAACATTGATACCAGATAGGGTACAACATTTATAAAAAAAAAAACTGAAGGACGAGTACATCAATATAGTTTTTTTAATAATGTAGCGCGATAGAACTAAATTTCCGAAATGAACAAAATATCACAATAAAAAAATTTAGTTGTTCATGAACTCAAGATCTACTACAAAAACCTGCCCTACTATAATGTATTGATAATACAGGTAACAACGAGGTTATTGGAACAGAATGCAAAAACGAAAGGAAAACAAATCAAAACGGATGAAGAGGGGCTCTTCACAAGTTGAAAATAAGAATGGATATTAGCTACGTTAAATGAGTTCCCTCTACAACCAATGGTGGTTCTTCCCTCGACAACCAATAGTGATTCTTCTCTCTACAATTTGACGACTATGCTTAAGAAATTGACAGTTATATCAATTCTAGTCAAATCAAATTGATAAAGTTACCTTAGTCTTTGCTGCTAGACGATAGATGTCAGGAACATCAGATTGTTTGTGGTGCTTAGGATATGCCACTTGCCCGTACAGATCATATTTGTCAATCAGCTTAAGTACTGAGAGAAGAACAGAAGAACTTGTGCTTGACATTTCATCAATTCCGTCTCGGTTACCCATAATTAATGTCTAAAAAGCCAAAAGAGTGACACTTAATTGATCAGTGATACTAAAGAAGTGCAGAATGATCATTCACTTCTTACGAGGTTAGCAAGCTCTCTAAGAGGACGGCATTCTCCAAACGCTTTCACCAAAGTTGTGATGTTCTTTTTAGGATCACAGGCTTTCGTGCGTTGGAAAAGAAGCACATTATCTGATAAACAGAGAGTTAAATTGGCATTAATTCATTTTTATATTGGATTTAGAAACAGAACTTACTAGCAAGTCACATATAACAAGGAACCATTAAAAATGAAGCATATTCCAAACCTCGGACCAAATTGGTGGATCTTGGGGGGCAGGGTGATCCAAAATCCCTTCTGGTTCAGTTTCTATATCACCCTCCAGTGGAGCAATATGATGGAACTCCATACCCGGTGGAATTACCTGCAAAATGTGTTGAGATTATACTAAGACCTGATTTCACATGACTGGCAACCAAGTATTACTACTAAAACAATATAACATCTGGAACAGACCTCAACAATAACTGTTGTTATCAATATATACCGTTCATACTACGAGGTACGTCAATGATATTTCTAACCCATGCATTAAAAAAAAGCAAAATATTATCGGCCGTGTTTTCATACATATAAAATAAAACTATTCTGTTCCTAAACAAACTAGAAAGCCATACCAATATTTGAAAACAAAACTCTAGGTCTCATCCCAAGTCAAAATAAAAAGTAAAAAATAGATAATTTACTCATGGATAACCCTATCAAGTAAAAACTAAGTAGCAAGACGTTTTGCTTCAAGTGTCAGGTTAAAAAGACTCAAAATAAGTAACCAAACGAGAAAAATGAACTTACTATCTCTCAATAGTCAATACAAATTGCTAATGTATATCAATATCAAAATGATATTTTACCTCTAGCCAGCTGTAAATTACTTAGTTCAAAATAAAGACAGACTAATTTGGTTCACAACAAAAAGTCGTTAAGGCATTGTTAGAAAGTTCAATAGTGACCCAATACTTACCGACATGCGAGGCATGTATCTACCATAACAGCTCACATTACGCCTGATCCTTGCTCGTATTTTACGTTCCAATACTGGATCAAAACCATTATACAAGCGCCACTGTTCTTCTATTTCCGGTCTAGTGCTTGTTATGACAATTTCAGTACCATCAAGGGCTAATTCTTCAGCTTCTATCCTACGCATGATCTTGTAAGTTGAGTTTATTTCATCACTTGATAATCGGCCTTGCTTTAAAAGTTGTTCAACTTATCTCGACCAAGTGAGTGGCCGGTAAAAATCATCGGTACATTCAAAGCACCGGACAGAAGAGCAGCAGAGTCGCCTGCATCCGCATAATGCCCGTGAATAGCAACCGGCCAGACAGCATGCCCACTGCCAATTTGCTCCCCAAGAGCCTTGGACATCTGTATAATGTGGCCAATCGCTCCACCAACAAATTCAGGAATGTAAGGCCAGAGTTCTTCTTTTGGAATATATTTATTTCTCGGACCAAATGGAATACGAATGATGTAAGCACCACTGCTCTCTCCCATGTCATCTCCAAATTCATGCGTGTTTCTAGGAGCCAACATTTCCGTTGGTTCCCCATAACTCCAATCTACATCTGGCGAGGATACTTGCCTATAAACTCCCGGCATTGATCCGAAGGCCCGTGCAAGCTCCACAACATACTTAACCTACTCAGTACAGAAACATAGACAGGCAGAAAGAATTCAGTTACCCCACATGATCAGATAGATGTCATCAAATTTAAAAGTTAATAGATTCTTAACACGAAAAAACAACAAAAACGAAAACAGTTACAGAAGTAATACCTGACCACCAGTATCAGAATCACGCCCCAGCTCCATATTCTCACCACACGTATAAGGCCATGAATGCTGCACATAAACACGTAGTTAAATTCAAGAATAACAAAACAAATTTAGATAAGCTCGGATCTTGAAATTTAATCACAAAATTGACAGAAAAACAGCAGTATCCGCCACGGGAGCTAGCTTTAGGGTAGAGCTAATCTCGATTCGTATTTTAAGAATTACTAACAATAATGCCTATATAATAGATATTTGATAACGTTGATGTTACATGATTTAAATTTAATAAAACAGTTTATTTTTTCAAGTCTCAGTTAAGCTAGATGCAAAATTTACACAAATAGGCATGTTGGAAAACAAGAGGACAAGGACGAGCCATTTGAGAACGAACTGTAAAGATAAATGATAATAAATTTCATCAGCAATCTGAAATAGCATATTTTCTACTTATCTATATAAAGCCTGAAGATTAAAGCAGCTAGGGGAAACTACCATCTTGATAGGTATTTTATTTGAAACCTAAATTAGTAAATCTTGTATTTTTTTCTTATCTCTATACCACCGTAAGATAAAAGCACCTAGGGGTGATTACAATTTTTATGTAGAAAATCACTGAATCAAAACCAAAATTACATAGCAGGCCCTTTCAAAGAAATGGAAAAGCCTATAACTTAGAACTTAGAAATTGAAAAATAGTTGATAAACTAGCTCCCTATAGATGACATATGCAAGCATGTGACAATTAGATGGTTATCAAAGCAGCATATCTGTTATGGGATGAGTGACATGACATATGCAAGCATGCTAGTACTTCAACTTTATAAAAGTGAGGTAGTAAGGTGACTGTTATAAAAAGCTGTGTGTATGCATGCTATAATCACAATTCTTTTCTTCTTTCTTTTCTATATTCAATATGAATCCAACAAAGTTTCTTTTTATTTGTATGTTTCTGCTCACAATTTCTTCGATCAACAGTCGTCGAGTGGATATTGGTGAAGCCCTTCGTGCCATTGGTCCGGTTGATGATGTTTCTGTTGCTGCTACTCTTACTCCGGTTGCCGAGGCAGTGAAAGCGGTTGATGATGTTGCTGTTGCTGCAGTGAAAGCGGTTGATGATGTTGCTGTTGCTGCTACTCTTACTCCGGTTGCCGAGGCAGTGAAAGCAGTTGATGATGTTACTGCAAACAAGAAGAAGAAAGGCTTCCCTGACTGGATAATAACCATTATTAACCATTATTGGTGGTATTTCTTATCTTCTTCCTGCTTCTGTTCCTCCTCCCGTTTAATAAAATACTAGTTAGATTTGGATTTTTAATGGTATTAAATAAAAATAATCCAAATCCAGTTTACTATTTTCAGAAAAGCAAAAGCTATGTAATCGAAAGCTATGCATTTTAATTTTAATCGAAAGCTATCCATTTTAATTTCATAAAAGGATCATTTGCTTATCATAGAAATATAATTGTATTGGAAGTATTAAAAAGAGAAAAATGATTTCAAGAATTTAAAACCCGACCCAAACGCAATCTGCCAGACCCGATCGCCTTTCGCGACCCTTAGCCTCTGCATAAGCCAGTTCATACCAGAGAGAACTACTGGAAGTGTTTCCGAATCGATGCAGAGTCATCCGCGACGGCTCCATATGCCACTCACTCAGTTGCAGATTCTTCTGTATCTCATCAAGAACAGCTCTTCCACCAGCATGAATACAGAAATGCTCAAAAGCAAGCTTGAAATCTGGTATATAAGGCTTCACACGTGAACCTTTCAACACTTTTCTTCTAACCAATGACACAAAAACCCGATGGTTTATTCGATAACAGTATAGCAGCACCACCCATTCGGAAAATGCAATTCGAAAGAAGCATTGATAGGTCGTTTCTGAAATACCAATTCAAAGTTAAATTCTCCGTGCTTAAACCACTGCATACGAATTTGGATTCGCTTTCAGAAGATCTTTCGCTAGATCAATTGAAATAAGACCTGCACTACAACCCATTTCGCCGAGATTATAGCTTTTTATGTCTGTTCTCAGCTTGTAATGACTCACAATCATAGCAGAAAGCGAAGGTGTTGGATTTAACAAGCTACAATTCACCACAAGAATATCAATATCTCTTGAATTAACACCTGTTTTAGCAAAAAGCGCGTCTAATGCTCCGAACATTTCTGCTTCTGCTTCTTAGCCAAAAGTCATATATGGAACTGTCGAAGAAATTTCTTGCACTTTGAGCTGTGAATTGGTCCCACTGTGAGATGTATCCATTTGCATATGGGAGATCTCATATATGGAAAACAATGTCAAAGTTGTCTAAATCCTTGATGAGCTGGTCTGTGGTGTTAAGTGAACCAGGTTGGTAATAAGCATATTCATTTGAACCATCACGCTCAGCCTAAAAGACATTTGAAAGAAAATTAGTAGTTTCCCTGTAAACCATAAATAATCAAAAGTTAGAAAGGTCTCATTCTTTAAAAATCTATAAACCTTAAATAGTCGGTGCTACCCTTCCCATGTCACCAAATATGATGACACGTTGCAATGAGTTCTGGCCAGGATACGGGGATGCCTTGAACGAGTATCTCTTACTCCATACATAAGAACCATCGGACAAGAAATGCCCCAACCTGTAAGTGTACCTGGGGGAGAACAGGGGAGGTTGCCAACCTTTCAGACCAAACTCTACCAACACAATCTTACATGAACAATAAAAATAGTTGAATGGATACCTCATATTTGGCCAAAGTTCTTTAAGGAAACTCGTGTGTATAAAACCAGGATCACGCCAGCCAACAGTTCGCGCTGGTTCACCTATAGGTCAAGAAATGTCCTCGTTATTTGTTTGGATTCATTTTTGTTAAAGTTTCATGTATAAACTTGTTTATGTAATAATCCTTACCACACATGCTGTTACGATTAAATGTCAATGTTCTAGCAGCAGATTGTACCTGTCTTCCGCCCTTTGGACCCCATTCCACAAAGGGTACATCTTCATCTATGTCATATCCACTTGTCCAGGTAACTGTCATCTGTCATCGATTAAAATATTTAGAATGATTAGTAAAAAAGTAATATCCTATCAACAGATTCGTTTAAAACTAATATTTTACTATCGTATGAACTATGAACCAGTGTCTGATTAGGATAAGTTAGATTAGTGGTATATAATTAAACTTACTTCATTTCAAGACTTCCCTTGATGCACAGACAACTTGGCATATCCACGCTTTATTGAGGCATATCAAACCCTTCATTTGCTCTATGTTAGTAGATAAGTTAAATAATTCAATCCAGATATCCCTTAACCTCAAATATGTTCTGGAAGTGGAGCTTTTCCATGCTTAAAACCATATCAAACCTATGCTCTATGGCCAAATTCAAAAATAAACAATGGTAAAGACTAAAGACACATTTTTAATCAACCAACAATTTTGATAGTGTTTGGGAGCATTAATCAACCAACAATATCATCCACCATAGAAACCCAAGACACAATCCATATATCTTCATCCATTTAGTGAAGACAAAATGATAATAATAGCTAAGGATTCTGATCTGAACAAGTTGGAAACCTTACATATATAATCAATAATCAAAATTGAATAAAACAGTAAATAAAATTGAGCTGATACTTTCCAATGTATTCAACAAATATTGGTTCTACTGTTTGAGTTGATGATAGGGATTGAACACAAAATCATACGATGAATAATGGGTTGTGCTAACAATGAACAAACCTGAATATGAATGTGGTATACTGAATCACTTGAATCTCTTAATTTGTTGTATTATTGTAAAATATTTCACTGATAGAATTAAAAGTTCTATTTACAATGTTGCAACTACATGCTTTAAATAAGAGAGAATAGAAAACCTAATGGGTTTTGACTAATGGGCCTCATTACTAATACTACTAATTACTATTTACAGTCTAATATTTACAACACTCCCCCTCAAGCTGGTGAATGGATATCTATCATTCCCAGCTTGCAAGTAATTTGTTTGAATCTTTCTGTTGGTAAGCCTTTTGTTAACACATCTGCGAGCTGATGCCCAGAAGGAACGTAAGATGTAGTTATCAGCCCACTATCCAACTTCTCTTTGATAAAATGTCGGTCAATCTCAATGTGTTTAGTCCTGTCATGCTGAACAGGATTATGAGCAATACTAATAGCCGATTTATTGTCACAAAACAATTTCATAGGGCCTTCACACTGTATCTTCAAGTCTTCTAGAACTTGTTTCATCCACAATAGTTCACAAATTCCTAGTGCCATAGCTCTAAATTCTGCCTCGGCGCTTGATCGAGCAACTACACTTTGCTTCTTACTCTTCCAAGCTACAAGGTTACCACACAGAAAAGTACAATAGCCTGACGTAGATCTTCTATCACTCACTGAGCCGGCATAATCCGCATCAGTGTAAGTCTTCATAGCTAAATTCTCACCTCTTTTAAACAAAAGTCCTCTCCCTGGAGTTGCTTTAAGATATTGTAGGACGCGGTCTACAGCCTGCAAATGTCTCACCCTCGGATCATGCATGAATTGGCTCACCACACTGACTGCATATGCTAAATCTGGTCTAGTGTGTGCCAAGTAAATCAATTTTCCCACTAATCTCTGATATTGACCCTTGTCAACTTTGTCACTTTCCTCCTCAAAGCTTATCCTGTGATTTTGTTCAATGGGAACACTTGCAGGTTTGCATCCAAGTTTGCCAGTTTCCTGCAAAAGATCAAGAACATACTTCCTTTGAGAGATAAAGATGCCTTGCTTTGAGTAGGCTACCTCAATTCCCAAGAAATACTTGAGTTGTCCAAGGTCTTTCATCTCAAACTCTGCCGATAATTTCTCTTTGAGCAAATGTCTCTCAGTCAAATCATCTCCTGTAACAATAATATCATCAACATAAACAAGAAGTACAGTCAATTTTCCTTCCTGTGAATGTTTAAAAAATAAAGTGTGGTCTCCTTGACTTTGCTTATAGCCCAAACACACCATTGCCTTTATGAATCTTCCAAACCATGCCCGAGGGGACTGCTTTAGTCCATATAAGGCTTTCTTCAATTTACACACCTTGTTAGCTTCATTTGTTATGCCAACACCCGGTGGAATCTCCATATACACTTCTTCCTCTAAGTCTCCATGCAAGAATGCATTTTTAACATCAAACTGTTGCAATTCCCATCCACATGAAGCAGCAAGAGATAGTAAAATTCGAACAGTGTTCATTTTTGCCACTGGGGCAAATGTCTCCTCATAATCAATACCATATGTCTGAGTATAACCTTTTGCCACTAGTCTTGCCTTGTACCGATCAAGTGTGCCATCAGATTTATACTTTACGGTATAGATCCATCTGCATCCAACCGGCTTTTTGTCTCTTTGCCTTTCAATAATCTCCCAAGTACCATTTTTTTCAAGTGCTCTCATTTCCTCATCCATAGCTTGGACCCAATTTCTATTTTGCAATGCTTCTTCAACTGATAATGGGATTTTCACAGAATCAACAGCTGCAATAAAACTTTGATATTGTGTGGAAAGATGTTTAGTGGAGACATATTGAGAGATAGGGTGTCGATATAAGGAGGGACAAGATCTTTTATCCTTCCTCAAAGCAATGGGTAAATCAACTGGATTAGTGTCACAAGTATCAGAAATAGAACAATCATCATTTGAGGAATCATTTTCAGTACTTACCTCCGGTTCAGACGATTGAATTTGTTTCTGGAGAAGGTCAGATTTACTTCTTCTCTGATATACTAGAGTTGGTGCTGAAGGTGCTGATTCCTGTGGAACATAAGGCATTGAAGGACCAGGAACAATTACTGACTCAGATTCAGGTGTTGAACTAGGACTCAAACTCAAACTAGGTGACAACTCGGGTTCAAGAAAGGGAACACTGACAGGTGTTCTCGGGAGGCTAGGACCAAGGATCAGAAACTCGGACTCAGACTCTAAGTCACTCATGTTCTCCCCCTGAGACTGAGAATGAGTGAAGTATGACACATTTTCATGAAAGGTGACATCTTTGGAGACAAAGAATTTCCGACTCGGAGGATGATAACATTTGTACCCTCTTTTATTGGGTGCATAACCCAGAAAGATACATCTGACAGCACGGGGATCCAACTTGTTGCGATATTGTTTGTGAACATGAACAAAAGCAACACAACCAAACACGCGAGACTCAAGATTATGTAAGATAGGAACAGAGGGAAAACGTGAGAGCGTAAATTGAGCAGGACTAATATTACCTAACACTCGAGATGGGACCCGATTAATCAGATAGGCAGCAGTAAGAACCGCCTCCCCCCAATAAGAGGTGGGAACAGACATTTGAAACAGGAGAGATCGAGCAACTTCAAGTAAATGACGGTTTTTTCTTTCTGCGACACCGTTTTGTTGTGGGGTGTCAACACATGTGAATTCATGAAGAATGCCATGTTTACTAGTGAAGTTGGAGAAGGTATGATTGACATATTCTTTACCATTGTCAGAACGAACTCTTTTTATACATTTCCCAAACTGTGTTTGTACCATATTATAAAATTGGATAAATATTTGTGGTACTTCGGATTTAGTATTCATCAAGAAAATCCAAGTTACCCGAGTACAATCATCAATAAATGAAACAAACCATTTTGCACCAAAAATATTAGAGGTAGGGGCAGGTCCCCAACCATCAGAATGAATCACATCAAAAGGTTCAGCACTTTTATTAAAACTGGAAGGAAAAGTTACACGATTGTGTTTTGCCAACTGACAAACATCACACTTAAAAGACTCAACAGAATGGTTTAAAAACAATGACGGAAACATAGAGTTAATGATATAAAATGGAGGGTGACCGAGACGCTTGTGCTGAAGCCAAATGTGTGAGGCTGAAGAGGAAGACTGAGACTGGAGACAGGAGGACAACACCTTTGGATGGTCATCAGAGAAGTAGTATAACCCTTCCTTTTCCTTAGCAATTCCAATCGTCTTCCCCGTGGTAAGGTCCTGAAAAATACAATGGGACATAAAAAACGTTACTTTACAATTTAGATCACGGGTAAGCTTATGGATGGAAATCAAATTGTGGGAAAGTGTGGGAACATGAAGCACGGATTGCAATTGAAATGGAGGTTGCAAGTCAATATTTCCAGTGCCAACAACACAAGCCTGAGAGCCATCAGCAACAGTGATATAAGGAATACTCGAAGGTGTGGTATAAGAGCATAATAATGTGGAATCAAATGTCATATGATTAGTAGCACCAGAGTCAAGAATCCACGCATTCTTAGGGATATTACCACAAACAGTAAAAGATCGGGAACACAAACTCTTACCGGTAACTGCTAGAGACCCAGAACCAGAAGGCTTACTAATGGAGTCAAGCATAGACTTCAACCGTTCCACGTCATTCTGGCTGAAGGAGGAAAGATCAGTTCCCTCTTTTTCAAATCTGTCAGTATCATGGGCATGTGTGACAACATGTGCCTGATGCTGGTGCATGTTGCGAGAACTACCTCCTCGGCTAAGAACCTGTTCCCTTCCATGTAGTTTGAAACACCTATCCTTTGTATGCCCTGATCGGTTGCAATGCTCACAATAGAATTTGTCACGACCATTCTTAGATGATGACGATGGTGGTCCTTGTCTTGTTGTTTTTCTAGCTACTAGTGCTGACACATCCGGGGCTGTTCATGAAGCATAGTTTGACGACGGGTCTCCTCACTACGAACAATGTAAAAAACTTCATTAAGATCAGGAAATTTTTCCTTACCCAAAATCTGCACCCGAATGGGGTCAAATTCAGCATTAAGGCCGGCTAAGAAATCAAAGATCCTATCCCGCTCAACAACAGTATTCAAGGTGGTAGTATCCTTGCTGCACTCCATCTTCAAATTCTGATATTGATCCAACTCAATCCAAAAACCATTGAGAACTCCAAAGTAATCGTTGACCGAAAGACTTCCCTGCTTAGTGTTGAATATTTTCCTCTTTAAATCATAACAAGCAGACATATCTTGTTTCATGGAATAACT